TGATCATTATTCGTAGTTGTAGTAGTGGTGGTAGTAGTAGTTGTTGTTGTCCTAGTAGTAGTCTTAGTAGTAGTCTTAGTAGTAGTCTTAGTAGTAGTAGTAGTAGTAGTAGTAGTAGTAGGAGGAGTAGCAGGACGAGGAGGAGGAGTGGTACTGGTAGAGGTAGTGGTCGTAGATGCTGTTTCAATGGTAGCAGCAGTATGTCATTGTTATGAATGTTCTGGTTCGCAATGTCACAACTACGATTATTGCTATCGTTATCATTACTGTTTTTAGGGTGGTGAGTCTTCCGGTTCTCAACCTTACACTAACTACAGCCACCAGCCATCAACTTCTCTGAAAGCCTCACACTCCTAGATACTAGGATCCTGAGTATACGGAGCCCTTTAAGGAGCCCTTGAAGGAGCCCTTTAAGGAGCCCTTTAAGGAGCCCCTTGTCACAGTCATTCGCCCCCAAAGCACCCAGAGCCGATACCTCCACGAGGCGCTGAGAAGCGGCGTACTCCACGGCGAGGGCCTTGGCTCCCCGCTGCCCTCAAAGAGGGGGCCACTTCAGCTTAGGGGGTTGAGGCTTAAAGGGGGTTGGGGTTCAAAGGACATTTGAGGGAGTTTAAAGGGCTTTCAGGGTTAAGGTGGTTTAAGACTTCAGGGCGCCCCTTGCCCTTCCTGTGCTTCGCACAACGTCGCTATAAGGACAATCCTGACTCACAAAAACCCAAAGACGCAATTGAAGCCACAACTGGAGTGTGGCTCCCTAGAATCTCGAACATGAGGATACATTGGCTACAATAAGGGCGCTTAGGAGGGCAACAGTTTACTCTTCTGCACGCTGATGTCTTGAACAAGTTCTACTTTAGTATCCTAGACAAGCTCTTGTATGCTGTACCCCCCCCCCCACCCGGTGTCGCACAAGAAGAGCCCAGGCACTGCCAGGAGGAAGAGCAATCCCTGACAAGGTACCAAGGACTCCTGCGACGACTTGCGCGTTGGTTTAGTGGTTAAGGTTGTTGGCGGTGTTTGTTGGGGCCTGTATACTCTTCAACCAGGACTGGGGGTGCCAAGAAGTGCGACCCCTAAACAACAATCCCGGAGCTCGAAACCCCTCAACCCCTGATCCTGAGATCCTGATAAGCCCTACAACCCGTGATACACACATCACAGGCCTTAATCTAGGCGCCTAAATAGTAAGTACCAACACGAGTCTTTTGGGGGGCGTTCCGTCTTATAAGTATAGCATTCAGGCCCCTATACCATACCATGCATCACGACCTTATGCCTCATGCCGAAAGCTCCCAAGAGGCGGAAGCCCTGAAGCCGCGCTCCCTTTAAGGGGAGCCTTGAGCTCCAACATGTGCCAAGGGATCATCTCAGAGCCGAGGATCATGTGGAACGGCAGGTAGGCCTCGAGGGGTTTAGGGTTCAGGGTTTGGGGTTCAGGGTTTAGGGTGTAGGGTGTAGGGTGTAGGGTTCAGGGTTCAGAAGGTGCAGTGTTTGGGTTGAAGGCGACTGGCGCAGGTAGTATTTCTGAATGGGTCTTGAAGGAAGTAGGGTTGAGCAACTAGTCTGGGTTGAAGGCTTCGACAGCCCGGGTCCCTGGCCTATCTCCTGGAGGCCGAAGTCATGTTGGTAAGACTACGCATAAGATCATCATAAGATACTCATAGTGAAGGGCAAGAATGCAAAGACCTCAGCTGATGAACCTGGTGCTCCTTGGCCAGGGCGGGTCTTGCCCGCAAAAACCCGACTACGGTCATTTCAGCCGCAGAACCAAAACTTCCACGAACAAGCCTTATGGTAAGGAAGCCTTTGGGGTTCGGATCATAGGGCTCAGTGAGGAGCTTGGAGCTTTCGGCTTTGTCAAAATTGGCCCCATAAAGGGCCAAAGCCCCCGCGCCCCGCATCCCAGGTCACAAGAAAGTCTGAAACCCTCGAAGCCTGAAACCAAGAACATATAACCATGCGAGGCTGACCCGGAGTGATGCCAAGAGAAGTTTCCGCGAGCTCGCTGGAAGTCTTTTCCTCGGAAGTTGTCATCTTGCTAGGAACTTAGGCCCGAGCTTGGCAGGGGTTGGGGCTTGGGGGCTTCTTGCTGAGGATATGGGTGCTGGTCCAATAGAAAATATACAATGAAAAAATGAGTTCGTGATCTTTCTTCTTCAGCTGGGGTTTGGGCTGGCCTCTCTCGGCCCTCCGCACCACCGACAAAGTGCAAGACTTGGCAGAACACCTAGCTGGATCCACGAATTCCTCATCATGCATGCAATGAAATCACGGAACACCTCGTATCCACTCTATGCCCAGGCCAATGCCCGTAAGGAAGGGAAGTGATCCAGTGCCAAGAACCCTGACCTCCAACTCTAATTCCTGAGTCAAGCAGGTGAGCGGCAGTAGCAGTAGCACTAGCAGTAGCAGCAGCAGCAGCAGCAGCAGCAGTAGTGGTGGTAGTAGTTGTCGTCGTCGTCGTCGCAGTAGTAGTAGTAGTAGTAGTAGTAGTAGCAGCAGTAGTAGCAGTAGTAGCAGTAGCAGTAGTAGTACTTGCACTTGCACACGCAGCGAAAGTCCAGTTCGCTCAGCGTCTAGGGCATGCAGTTGCATGGCAGCATAGCTGCAATGATCACTGTTGGATCATCCCCAACCTCCTAGA